CAACAACACTGGGTATCTATAATCTTTGCCAATCAAGTAGGTGAAAAATAGCCAATCGTTTTCATTCTTGCTTGGTCATTAACTATCTTTTCATATGTTTATTGGTTGTTTGTATTTCTTCTGTTTGGAATCATCTGTCCATCTTCCTTGCCCATCTGATACTAGGTTATTTGTCTTATGTATATATCAGTTGGTAAGAGTGATTTGTTTATCTGCATGTTAAACTCTTTGCATAAAGCATATTATATAGAAAAGTTCCCCCAACTTACTGTCAAACTGACTTGAACATTTTTAAGTCATATTTAGCAACTTTTCTGTCATAACCCAATGATACGAGTATTGTATAAAGCATGAGGTAGACTTTACCACTCTAATTTTAGAGTGCTTAGAATGAAAATTAAAATAAAACATTTACTATTTCTACAAATTTTAATTGTTACTATGTTTAACTTTGGTATCAGTGACCCAATTGATCTGGATTTCTGTTCTTTCCTTCTAGTATACCAAATACTACATTCACCAAATTCCAAGGAGCCGTGAGGTCCGGCAGTCCTGGCTTTCCACAGTGCTCACCACCTTGCATTCCATGTGGCTCTCCTTTCCTCTGGTTCACCGGGTGAAGCCAGATTTGGTATGTAAGACCATCACTAAGGAATGAGAAAATTACTTTTCTAGCAACTTCTCAGTAGATAATAGGATTTTTTAAAAATGATTTTTGCCATAAGGTGCATGCACTCACAGAGAGAAAGAGAGAGAGAGAGAGAGACAGAGAAGGTGGGGTGGGGGGAGAGAAATAGAGAAGGAAAATGAGAAATCACCCTTGTGGGGAATAGCTTCTCCTCCAAGCTCCTTTTGGGATTTGGGGCATGTATGCACACACTCTCGGTGTGTTTTCCAGCTGCCTAACTTGAACACTTTAACCACCATGCCCCCTGCCAGCCCTTTGTTTTCCTAATCAGCTGCCATTGATCAGTGTCTCAGGTAGGGTACTAGGCCCTCAACTAACCTTTGTTAACATTTTATCATTTAAATGCACTTTGCTGAAAGAGATGAGAAATTTAACTTCCCTTTTCAGCTATGACTTGAACTCTAAATTTGCTATTTTCTTCCTTATCTCATGCTAACTGCTAACAGAGCAGTTTCTTTAATTAATTTATGTGCTATCTATCTGTGCTTTCTAGCTGATGTCATGTGCTCATCAGCCAAGGAAGATCCAATTCTTTACCCATTTTCAGTTGTCTTTTTTGTTTTAACCAAGACTGTTACCAAATATGGTTTACAGTGGGTAAAATAGCATACACACTCAGGTATGTATAGCAAAGTAGTACAGAAAATAGAAAAGGGAAAACATAGTGTTCTCTACATTCAACCTTGCTTTTCTTATCTAGAAAGGTCTTAAGTTTTTTTGTAGTCTTTAGGATGAAGTTCTGTCGTTAAATTCCAGATGTACTTCAGTACGCAATGCAGATTAGTGGATAAGTTATCACAGTCTACACAGTTCTTAAATAATATTCTTATTCCTATTTAAGGAAAAAGCCATTCACTGGCATAGCCTGAAAGGAAACACTTTACTTGCTGTCCAGAACATGAGTTCTGGATGGCGCATGTTATTCTCATGAATAGTTGAACAGAAATATGCTTCGCTACAATGATTTTGAAAGATCTCTATCAGTTTAGTCTTTGCCTTTCAACTAGATTGCAGTTTAAGTCTCTTTGAGATGAGAATTTTAGTATCTGAATTTTCTACATGACAAGTTTATTATATTAAGAGATGTATTTACATACAGTGAAATGCACAGATCTTAAGTGTATTGTTTGACCACATCCTTATTAAGATACAGAACATTTCCTTCACTCCAGAAAGTTTTCTACTTTCATTTCCCAGTCAACCCCTACCCCCCCAGCAGCCACTCTTCTGATTTCTATTACCATAGATTAATTTTGCTTATACTTCTTTTTAAATTTTTGACAAAATTTATCTCAATCTCAAACCACATTTTTAGTGTGTGGAATTCAGATGTTCCCCTAAAAGATCACTGTTGCCCTGAAAGGTTTAATTGATTTATTTCTAAAACTCAAGAGATACATAGAAGGAGGAGAAATGGTCTTAGCATTCTAAACTGGAAATTTTAGTTTCATGTTTACCCAGTCACGACAGAGGTGTGCCACCCTCCCTGGCAACAACTAGCTTTAACGTAGCAGCGTCGGGACTCTCGGGTGTTAAAACTCAGAGGGAAATGGCGGCATTTCAATGCCGTCTGCTGTGGCTGCAGCCAGCTCCGGTGACTGCCTGGCCTACATGTTTAACACCCTTACAGGCGGACACTTCATGGGTCATGGGACTCTTGGTTCCAGGCCACTTTGGCTTTTATTTTATTTTAGTCACTTCTCTTTTGGGCCTCATTCTTAAAACAAAAGCATTGGAATAGTTATCCTCTCAGTTTTCTTCTAATTCAGTCTAAAATTTTATGAGCACCATAAACTTACTTGTAAAAAGTAAGAGGAAGAAAAAAAAGGTGAAAGATTATGTTGTTTTTAAGGAATAAGAGAAAGGGGTAAATTTGAAATACTTATTTCCACTTTAAACTGAGTTAGTTTAAATATCATTTCAAACTTGAACATTATCTGATCAACTACTTTGATATGGTTGGCTTCACCAAATGAACTTCCACTTAGTGAAATTCCCTTTTACTGAGTAGGAAGTTAATGATTAAGAAGCTCTTTTGGGGAGGGGCAGGACTGATTCTGTGGCCTAGTGGTTAAGAGAGCTGGACCTGGCTGATTGGAAGATTTGAATCTCAGCCCCCGCAGCTTAAAGAACATGCTGGGGGCTTGTGTTTGCAGGCCTAAAGTCCTGATGGGATGGAGAGATGGAGAAGAAGGGAGTGGCATGACCACTTCCCATTAGGGAAGGGGAGAAGCTTTCCCCCTCTCCCTCTCATCTTTGTCTCTGACTTTCTCTGGGAAGCACATGTGCCCTCTGACCAAAAAACAAAAACAAAAGCCCTTCCTACTGCACTGAGAGAAAAACAAGTGTGCAGCTCTTTCTTGCGTTCATCTTCAGTGGACTAAACATTTGTGTTCCCAGTACATTGGAATTCTAATCCCCAGGGGTATTAGGTGGTAGGGCCTTCAAAAGGTGATTTGCCCTCATTAATGGGCATAGTACGTTTTAAAAAACGTCTCCAGGGGCTGGCAGGTGGCGTGATGGTTAAGGATACTACACTCCCACATGGCCAACCATAGTTTGAGTCTTGGAACTGGTGGCTTGCTTTTTTGTCCCTCTCCTTACTCTGTCCCTCACTGGTCAAATGAAAATAAAACAGATGAATAAAATAATTCTCTAAAAAAAGAGAGAGAGAGAGACAGAGAGAGAGAAATTCCAGCCGCCATGTGAGAAGGTGACTGTCCTGAGAGAGCAGGCCCTCCCCAAAAACTGAATTGGCCACCTCTTTGATCTTAGAAATGGCTGTTGTTTATAAGCACCCAGTTTATGGTATTTTAATAACAGCCAGAATGGAGTAAGGTGTCATCCTTGGCTGTTTTATGACTTTTATCACAAAGTAACTATTTTATTTTTACTTGTTAAAGAAAAGGTCAAAGAAAAATGCACTCTTAGAAAGTATAGCAGTAGCAGACTAACTCACCCGAGTTCTGTGAACAACCAGGCGCCTTTCTGCTTCTCTAACTTTGTGCACCTAAGTCCACTTCACCATCTACAGAATATAAATGCAGACACTTTCCTTATTGTTTCAGAGTGCTGAATAATAGAAAAATTTAGTGGTTTCAGAATGGAAATGCTGCCTGGTACATAATAGCTAACATTTATTGAGCACTTTTATGGGCCAGGCCTGGTATTAAGCACTTGGTATTCATACCATGTGAGATGGGTAATACTGCTCTTCACATTTAATGGATGAGGGAACTATGGCTACAAAACAATGAGGTCACTTGTTCAGAGTTTGCACAACTAGTAATTTAACAGAGCTCGAACTAGAATCCAGGTCTTTCTGATTCCAAAGCCCAAGGCTTGAACCAGATGCCACACTGACTGACTCACATTGTGAAATGTGTTCTTTGTTCAGACCAAGTAAGAACAATTCATAAATCACTTTTTTGATACATTGGGCATCACCCTATCTAAATTGTGGAATAGTATGAAATAAAACTATATCCCAGCAACTAGAGTTAAATAAGTCTCTGCTTTCAAAGTAGATTTGATTGACTGACCTACTTGAACAATATACTGATAGTACAGCTTTCAAAATTAAATGTCATGTACATTTGTCAAAATAAAATATTCTTAAAGTTCAAAGTGGATAATTAAAAATAAGAGGGACTAGGACCAGCAGTTAGCGTAATGGCTATGTCGCTGGACTCCCATGTAGTTGACCATGGTTCGAGTCCCGGACCCCGAACCCAGTGGCTTAAAATTCATGCCGGCCATGTGTATGTGCATGCCCAGGATCCCAAGAGGAGAATGGAGGAGAAGGGATTGTGGCATGGCCATCCCCCTGGGAGATGATTTCTCACTTTCTGTCTCTCTCTCTGTCTGGCGAGCACACGCGCCCTATAGCAAAAACCTCTCCCCCCAAAAATAAATAAATAAGAGGGACTAGTATTGTTAAAAAATGTTTAAAGTATAATTACAGAATTCTATAAATAAAATTGAGTTGGAAAATTAATTGAATTTAAATTTACCAGCTTCCTGTTATAGAAGATGGTATGTGACAATTATAAGGAAATTTTTAGGTCTTAATTGACATTTTGGATTAAATAGTGAGCTGAAACCTCAACTCATTTTGAGGAGAAAAAAGGTGTAAATCTGTTTATTGAGTATATATTACAATCTGTGCTTTTGTGTCCCAGCAATTATTGGATGAAAAACCCTAGAACAAACTTATAAACCCTGAATCTAATCCCTACCAATGATTGGAAGGGTGATTTCTTCTTTTACAAGGTTATTAAATATGTTTTAGGTGACTCTAATAAATACACAACATATTCAAACTATGTTTGAGTCTAAAAAGATAAATGGGACAAAAAAAAAACAAAACAAAAAACAGATCAACGGTTGCATGGGGTCTGCGAGTGGGCAGAGTCGACCACAAAAGGACTTGAAAGAATTTTTGTGCGTGAGAAACTGTTCTGGATCTTGATTGTGGTTTGATTGTATGTGAATGTCAAAACTCAAATTTGTACACTAAAAAAGGTTAAATTTTGTTTGTACATTGTGTCTTAAAAATATGAATCATAAAAAAAATAAAGTGGGTTAAAATGTATTATTATTAGTATCATTTAGGCTTCCAGTAACCACATACATGGCATTTAACTATCTTCCAGTGAAATTGATTTGATGAGTCATTGCCCATACCGTTCTTTTTCTTTTAAAGAATTTTTTCATTGAGACTGGCATGGGGGCGGGGGATTGATTTCTGTGACTTTTTTCCACCACTTCACCTCCCTCCCCCTGCCCTCCTCTCTATCTGGTGAGCACCGTGCCCTATAGCAAAATGTTAGAAAAGAAAACAAAACAAAACAGCTAATGTAATTAAGTCCACACTTAAGCTTCAAGAAAAATGGAGTAAAAAAACAAGTAGGCATGAAATACAAAGCATTTGAAAAGAAGGG